GCAATAAAAGTAAAACTCGAGCGTCACGACATTGCGAAGTGTCTGCTCTTGTTCTTCGTATCGAACTCGAGTCGAGTCAATCCGAGATGGCCCGAGTGAAGTTTCATGCAAATGTTTCGTATAGAAAAAAAATCGCTCCCTGGGTTGGTGTAGAAGGTCATCGTAAATACGTGACAGCTCCTTATCTCCATTCTTAATAATTATAAAGATCATATTATAATGATCATATACGAAATTGTGAGGCATTCCAATATTTTTTAGATTTACAAGGTATACTTGAAAATGATAATGTATAAGGTTTAATATTTTCTAATACCAACATTATTGACAGTTCGCAAAATTGGTCTACTGTATACTATTGTTTAAAGAAGCGTTTGCTATATGTAGGCTACACCCATTGTTTAACAATGGGCTGAAAGCTTCCAATGAGCTTTCTTTGTTTTTGTAGGTAGCTTTGATCAGTAGGATAAGAATGCTTTGATCTTTAGTTTATTCATAGCTATGTCACCTACTAGAGGTAATGTTTTGATTGGTCAAAAATACTTTTGGTGCATACAAGCCTGCAAATATGGATAATTTTTCATTCCTGATGATGACATAATTAATGTCGAAATATTGAATCCCGACACGATGGCGTGCATTTCGATACTTGGAATATGTATTATATCTTATAGCAAATGTAATTATCAATAAAATTTACCGGTATGCTTTCATATTGTTTTCACATGCACTTGCGGTCTTGAATGTGTACTATTTTCTAAAAATTAACAACACATTTTCGTCGTCACGATGAACTTTGCTGAGGTTGGAGATCGCGCCCCCGAAACCCTGGCCGCCCCGCATCACAAGTGCCCGCTTCGATACGGAAAAATGTGCAACACTGTTTACAGGCGTAAACGAGCTAGTGAACAAATGCGCAGTCGCCCTATTACAACGGGAAAATCTCGTACCTGGGTTCGATTCAACGCCGACAGAAACGTCGTCGGCGGTTGGCATCCACACCCCCCCCCCCCGTTCCGAACTTACGGTATCTAAACCATGTTATCGTTCCCAGTAGATGACGCATGGAGAGAAAGAGGAAGAGGAAAAGGTAGAGGAAAAAACAAGACAAATTTCAAACATACACACGTTGTTATAAGTTTAAATTCAATCAAATATGTATTCAGATATAATCCAATCTTTAATACTAAAACGAAATCAAAGAAAATCGAATCCTTATTTGGGTGCTCGCACAGGGCGATTTTGCATTAACTTTATACTAAACACAAACGAACTAAAGCCTATAATGGTGTGATTTCTAGTTATAAATTACTGTATTAAGTAATTGATCGTCATCATATGTGAGTATCAAAATGCCATTACTATTTACAACAAAGTGACTACCTCTTATTATCATAATATGATTTACTAATTTTCATTATTATCCATTAATAAATGAATGATTTTTTAAAGATTAATGAAGATTCAATATAATTTTATTTAAAACCCAATAAGTGATATTAGAATGAATGCATTGGTATTAAATTCGAAACGCATTCTCTATATCAAATTTTGCCATAAGGCAGCCTCTGCCGAAATACATGATAAGTTGTGTGATATTATAAATCCTCTATATATTTTGTGGTTAAAAAACAGGCAAGCTAACTCATTTTACATTAAACCTGCTACAATTAAAGAAATATCTGATATAATCAGAAATCTAGAAAAAAAAATAAGAGTTCCGGATATGATAATCTCCAAAAATAATAAAAAGGATTTTAAATATTATCGTAAGCCCCCTAGTCCACATTATAAACTGTTCTTTTGAAACTGGCATTGTTCCCAATAAACTAAAGATTGCTAATGTTATCCCCGTTTACAAAAAAGGAAAACAAGATGAAATTACTAATTACCGGCCGATATCTGTGCTACCAGTTTTTTCTAAAATATTCGAGAAGGCAATGCACGATAGACTTTATGACTACCTAACTAAATGTAAAATATTAAACCTCTACCAATACAGATTCCGTGCTAAACACTCCACCTCGCATGGCATCCTTGAACTAGTTAAAACTATCCGAACTTCTTTTGAATGAAATATATTTCTTGCCAGTGTTTTTATGGACCTGTCAAAAGCTGTTGATGTAATGAATCATGATATATTGATACAAAAGATTCATCATTACTGTGTAAAGGGCACATGCTTGAAATGGTTCATGAGTTACCTAGAAGGCAGAAAACAATTTGTCAGCATAAATGATATAAAATCATCACTATCTGAAATTACTTGTGGGGTCCCCCAGGGGTCAATTCTAGGCCCTTTGCTATTTATAATGTATGTAAACGATATATGTCATGTTAGCAATGTAGGTAAGGTAATCTCTTACGCAGATGATACCACTGTCTATTATTCAACTAAAAATATTACTAATTTAACCCATACATTGAACTTTGAACTTTCAAAATTTGATGGTTTAAAGCAAATAAACTTGTCTTAAATGTAAATAAAACAAACTTTGTTATTTTCCAACCACAAAAAAACATATTAAAACATTCACAAAATATCTCTATCGAAATAAATGGTATAAACCTAAAAAGAATGGATAGCGTCACATTCTTAGGTATTGTTATAAACGAAAATTTAAGCTGGAAACCCCACATTTAATATTTATGCAACAAAATACCTAAGGCCATTGGTATCATCTGTAAAGTAAAAAACATGTTTCCTGTACATACACTAATAAGTTTATATAACGCCTTTATCTTACCGCACCTTAACGTTGTATGGGAAAATTACTACACAACACATATTGGAAAACCACATAAGTTACAAAAATTAGCAGTTAGACTAATAACAAATTCACTTCGAGATACTAGATCACGTCCTTTATTTAAACAATGTAATATGCTTACAATCGTTGATATAAATAAGGTACAGGCAGTATGTTTTATTTATCATCTCAGGCAATTACCCGCTCCCTTTTGCGAAATCCTTGATGGTAATACAAAAAGTGAACGTGCAAAAGCCCTAAGAATGTAAAAAAAAATTTATGTACCTTTTTCAAGACTGACATCTTGTCACAGATCTATATTTATTCACGGACCAAATATCTGGAATGAATGAGCTATATGATAGCCTTTTAAAAATAAATTCGCAAAATTCGATCAAAAATAAATTGAAAGAGATGATTTTAAATACTTATTAAGGAAAATTTTTTCTTGGGAGTCGTCTATGATCGCTGGCACTTTCCGGGGCAGTACACTATCGGAGATGTCTTGGTGCTGAGGCGCACGGTATTTATTACTATGACGTGATGATCACTGAGGCATTTCCCCTTCCGGGAGGTGCTGGCAATTGTCGGCGATCCCAAATTTAAAAATTAAAATGTTGATGTGCTTACTATGTATTCTGTGTGTGTATGTTTTGTATGTTTGGTATTCAAACTGACAAGCCACCGCTCCTTTTGATGCCTATGTAAACAATTTGCAATTGGTTGTGGAATTTTTCTGAATAAATGTATATATATGGAAATACAGCGGAAAAAAATACTACTGCCCCCCCCCCACTGGCGCTGCCACTGTTTCTTGGGCCCCTCTATTTTGAATTCCTCAATTCGGGACTGTACTTAAGTACAGAATGGTAACTTGGGGCTCAAACGTTCTTGGTCCGTGTCTGATTCTGTTCGGAAGGCAGTACGTTTGAACTTTTCTGAAAAAAAAAAGAGAGCATAGACGTACACTTTTTTAGTTAATTTTTTTCGTTGAAATGTTTTCCTTATATTTCATGCATTGAATAATTATTCTGATTAAGAAAAATATTGATGGTCTGGAATTCATATGATGTGGTTATTAACAACAATATTTTTCTACGAAATGCTAACAGGTATAGTTATATTTTATATTAAAACACTGTTGCTACCATTTATTATCTATTTATACCATTTATTATCTATTTATATACACCATAGACCTAAATAATATAAAGTAATTTTAAGACAGGAAAAAAAAACCCCCAAAAACAACTGCTATAGATCTATAGAGGATACGCCCTCTTCCGTGCATTATTTACAGTTTGCTGGATCTCAAAAGGGATACTATGTATATAAAGTAATTTTAGTGCACAGAAAAAACCCAGAAACAGCAAGCGGAACAATGCAAAGAATAATATAAATTAAAACGTATACATATTATAATAATATATATATTTTTTAAATATATAATGTAAATATGTTTATAAACTTATGATTACAGTAGATGTATTTAACTTTACTAGTATTAATGTATTGTAGGTTTTGGTGATCGAGCTTTGGTCATTTACAATACATTTTTGGTAAAATATCAATTCATTATTATCGATGAGGGCGCTTACTGTTTGCGGCTGAATACTGAACCGAGCCTTTCTCTTGGACCAATGTATCTTCATTGCCGTTCTCACCTGAACAGTGTTTATAAAATGAATTTATAATTATTACAATACGTTTACAATTTTAAAAAATAATTTTAAAAAACTGTTATATTATTATAGAAAATTTATATTTATATATAAATGCACTATTTTTACTTATATTTTTTTTTCTGGACAAACAATGAAATGAGATTGTAATATTTACCCAAAACAGAAAAATCGCAAGCATTGTGAAGATTAAGGTATGTTTATTTCCGAAAATTGTTGCAGCAACGTTTCCAATGTTAGTGGAGAAGTTGTAAACACTTATTAAAGTAGTTAAAAAAATGTGTCAAAAGCAAATGCAACATTATCATACATTAACGTTAAATTGCTAGCTGTGTACCTTATACAAATCAAATAATAAACATAGGCCTTAAAAACAAGATAGCTATTAAATGAAGAATGGTGACGAACCTCTTTACTAAACAGGCAGTGCATGAAGAACAGAAACACCCCTTGTGGACCATTGCAAACGGTGAAAATAGTACCTATGGCAACACACGAATTTCGAGCAAGCAAACCGAATATCCATGGCAACCCAAGAATAGGTGACAGCATAATCACGCCTTTCAAAGACGATCTAAAAGTAATTAATTTCCGACATTAAAAAAAATAAAATTTAATGTTTTTTTATTATTTATAAGATAAGTAATTTTCCTTAATTGTAATACATAGTAAATAATGATAACAATATTAATACTATGAAAATGATGATAATGATAATATACCTTGCATCTTTCCATTGGGATACTATGTATATAAAGTAATTTTAGTGCACGGAAAAAACCCAGAAACAGCAAGCGGAACAATGCAAAGAATAATATAAATTAAAACGTATACATATTATAATAATATATATATTTTTTAAATATATAATGTAAATATGTATATAAACTTATGATTACAGTAGATGTATTTAACTTTACTAGTATTAATGTATTGTAGGTTTTGGTGATCGAGCTTTGGTCATTTACAATACATTTTTGGTAAAATATCAATTCATTATTATCGATGAGGGCGCTTACTGTTTGCGGCTGAATACTGAACCGAGCCTTTCTCTTGGACCAATGTATCTTCATTGCCGTTCTCACCTGAACAGTGTTTATAAAATGAATTTATAATTATTACAATACGTTTACAATTTTAAAAAATAATTTTAAAAAACTGTTATATTATTATAGAAAATTTATATTTATATATAAATGCATTATTTTTACTTATATTTTTTTTTTTCTGGACAAACAATGACATGAGATTGTAACATTTACCCAAAACAGAAAAATCGCAAGCATTGTGAAGATTAAGGTATGTTTATTTCCGAAAATTGTTGCAGCAACGTTTCCAATGTTAGTGGAGAAGTTGTAAACACTTATTAAAGTAGTTAAAAAAATGTGTCAAAAGCAAATGCAACATTATCATACATTAACGTTAAATTGCTAGCTGTGTACCTTATACAAATCAAATAATAAACATAGGCCTTAAAAACAAGATAGCTATTAAATGAAGAATGGTGACGAACCTCTTTACTAAACAGGCAGTGCATGAAGAACAGAAACACCCCTTGTGGAGCATTGCAAACGGTGAAAATAGTACCTATGGCAACACACGAATTTCGAGCAAGCAAACCGAATATCCATGGCAACCCAAGAATGGGTGACAGCATAATCACGCCTTTCAAAGACGATCTAAAAGTAATTAATTTCCGACATTAAAAAAAATAAAATTTAATGTTTTTTTTTTATTATTTATAAGATAAGTAATTTTCCTTAATTGTAATACATAGTAAATAATGATAACAATATTAATACTATGAAAATGATGATAATGATAATATACCTTGCATCTTTCCATCTGTTGTCACTGTCGGTTTTTAGATAAATTATTCGCCAAACGAATATCGATACAACACTATTTACCTTAAAGATATTATATAAAAATTCGGTAACATTAATCTTATATATCATGTTATACTATTGTCAGTATTATATTTATATGCGAGTTTACATAATTAATTTTATGGATATTTATTTTTTAAATAATAAAAACAAAACTTAAACAATACCAATACAATAAAAAGCATCAATAACACAACAATGATTTAATATAGCAGAAACTCTTACCAGCACTGCAATATATATACGCAGGAACAATGAATTTTTGTATATTTTTATATTTCTATAGCTGCCTTATTATTAACTATATTTTTGTCTCATAGTTACCTTACTGTATTTACTGCCTATTTACTGTTTTTATCATTGACTTTGACATAGACTTATTC